GGGTGCTCTACGCCATGTACTCGATGGGGGACCTGGAGCATATGTTGCACTTGGGTTCTTTCATGGCCACCACCTTCTCTCGGTGCCACGGGAAACCCAATCACCTCTTCTGTGGTCCCCTGATCACCCACTTGGCACGCCACTCGAGATTGACTTCGAGGGACCGACGGATTCCTCACCACGGGGAGGTTCCACCCCTCTCAGCCGAGACGTGCTTCATAATGCACTCCTCCTGCTTCTGATGGCACCCGCTCTTGGGTGGATGGACTGTCTTTGCCCCCGGAGGAGGACAAGGATCTGGATGAGGATGAGGAGGAAGACGACTACCTCGGCGAGGAAGAGGCCGATGATGATGATGGCGGGGCCATGGATGCTGATGAGCCGGAGCCCCCGCTCTCTCCACCAGGGGACCTTCAGCCACGACGGAGATCAGAGAGAGGCGAGTCCTCCTCCTGTCCTTCTGGTCCGTCGATGTCTACTGGCCCGTCGATGGACTTCTTCACGGAGCAGTTCCAGCAGATGGGGCTCCAGTTCCAGCAGCTCGGACTTCAGAACCAGCAGCTCATAGACCATCAGGTTCAGTTCTACCAGCAGTATTCGGCCCACCAGGCGGAGTACCAGTCCAGGCTGACAGTTGTAGACGAGCGCCTCGACCGGATGGAGGCCCAGATGGGAGTCACTGGTGCTCTCATCGAGCGAGAGCGGGATCGCAGCCGCCGGATGATGGAGTACCAAGAGCACCTGCTCCAGTCTTGTCACCCGCTAGAGGAGCACCGCTGGACCACCCGGTGGGATCACTCACCACTACCACCACCGACTGATGTGGTCGACGACCTCATGGACCAGATCGACTTCACCGGGCTCGAGTAGGCTGTACTCGTGGCTCGTTATGTGTTGTTTTTGTTTCTGTCATAGTGCAAACTGTCTTGAGTGTTGGTTTATTTTCTTTTCTTTCTTTTTTATTTTGGATGATGTACTATTGGGCTGACCATTGGACCTAACGTATTGTGTTTGAGTTCTTCTGTTCCCTTTAGCTGTGCTTCGTCCCTGACTGGTCCCCTCTCCAGTCCGCTTCACTCAGACTGGTCCCCGTCCAGTCTCATGCAGTCCATGCACACCGGTAACATCGTTCCCCTTATCCTTCCCTCTTCTCCATTGAGGGTAATGTTGAACTTAAGTGTGGGGGGGATGTTTCTCTTTTGACTTCATTAGATCTGTTTGTGTGCTTGGAGCCTAGTCCACTGTCCAAATTTTTAAATTTGAGGGCTCCAAGTACGTGTTTCCTTGCAAATTGCCTGCTTAGTATGCTTTGAATTGACAGTCTCTATAGTAATGTGCAACCTAGGGAGGTAGTGTAGCACTATGGAGGATGTTGAAGTATAAGATTTTTCCTATCTAGCTCTCTGCTGTGCTAGTTGATTTTGTGAATTAGTGGAGCTAAGACCGTTGAATTCATGTGGTAATAGGTGACTCTGTTTGGATTGTGTTATGGATTCGTGTATCGAACATGGTGCTCATGTGGAAAATGAAAAGCAGTTGGTCCTCCATGTCGAAATCAACGAAATCTTAAATATGGGGTAAGCCCAACGTGTGTGGCACCGTTCATTGCACAAAATCGGGTTTTGGAGGAGATTTTAGTTATCCTTAGTGGGTACTCCTACAAGGTGAAACTAAGCTGTCTCTGGTACAAGTAAAACTTCCACCCCTTGAACGGTTTGCCTACTCGAGGATGTGTTTTTATGGGCACGGATAGAGCTTCCGACCCCCCTTAATTTCATTGACCCTCCACACGAGTTGAGGAAAAGGAGTTAAAAGAAATACTCTGGCGAGCGCCAGATGTACAGAAATTGCTCTTGCTCGACTAATAAGGGTCGACCGTGCAAAAGACTGCAGTTGGAACCCCCGCCAAGTGAACGAAAAGAAAAAAAAGAAGTAAAATGAAAGTGATAAAAGGGGTTCCAATGGTGAAATGAAGTGAAAAGCACCCCGGTACCACGAGTCCTTGGTTGTGAATAGTGTGAGTCCCTTTATCCATGGACTGACTGTCTTACTTCTACTTCTTCTCATGATCCTGACTTGAGTCTAGTACTCGCATTGAGAGAGATAGGGAACGTCTTAGAAGACCAGTTGACCTCGTAAGCTGCTATATGATCTAGAAAATCCTCTACAGACGATCGGGGTTGTTTGTTGCTATAGGGGTCTGGAGAGTTGCATTGGTTTGAGTTAGGTTTGCTTGGGGACAAGCAAACGGTTAAGTGTGGGGGAGTTTGATAGACCATTGATTACACATGTTTTTACCCCTATCCTTGAGCTGTTTGAGATGTTGATTCTCGTGTTTTAAGCTGATTTCACGCTAGGTTGTGCGTTTATGTCATATTTCAGGACGTAGCGTTGGCATTGAGGCGAAGAAATGAGTTTCCGATCGAAAGGAGCACGTTTGGGGTGAAGTGTGCTGGAGGAGCAAAATACCCGGCCATGAGGAGAAATACCCGGCCGGGTATTATTTGGAGCAGACCGGGGAAATGCATTTTGGACGTTTGAGAAGCAGAAGGTGGCCCGATCGTTAGGCTTAAATCCCTGGTCGGGGATTCTTGGCCTTGACCGGGGATTTTCCCCTGTTACCCGACGGTGCGTTTTGTAGATACTCGGTCGCCACCCAAAATACCCGACCAGGTATTCAGGTCGGGGATCGCGACAGACAGCCTCTTAAGGGAAAAGAAGGGCAAAAGAGAAGAGGTTCCGAGTTTTAGAGAGAAAAAGCGATACCTAGAGAGAGAAAGTGACGAACCGGATTTTGCAAGTGTCCTTGATCGATCTCCATCACCATTGGAGCACGACTTGAGCTTGGAGAAGAGCTTATTGAGTGCCAGAAGCAGATTCTCATCTTTCACAGTATGGTTTCCGCATCTGAGCTAGATTTTCCATCTCCCTCTATGGAGTAACTTTCTTATTCACCTGGGTATGAAGAACCCTAAATTCGTAATGTTAGGTCTGATTGTATGAACCCAAGTACAGATTGTGTGATATGATTATATTCAATTGAAGTTTGATTTAATGAATGACATGAATCCTGATCAAATTCCTATTGTTTCTGCTTTAACCTAGAAAGAGAATGTCTACCTAGGTTGATAGAGCACCCTTGATTGAAGTTAGTGGATTGAAGACTCTCATATCAAAATGATTAGATTTGATCTGAGAGTCGATCGATCCATAGTACTGATCCAATGTAAACTGAATCACGTACTACTCCTAGTTGTATGGTAAAATAAATCACTTTATCACAAGCTAATAACACTATAGAAGGTAATATGGAGTGAACAAAAGAAGCAAAAAAAAAATGTTTATGCCATCTCCAAACGTAAATGGGCTTCGATTTTTGTGAATTTTAATAGATAATTTTTTTTTTGGTTGTTTAAAATTGTAATTAACTAACAAAATATCATAATGTGCCAGGAGGTTGAACGAATTGGCTCCAACCTAATTGCTTAAACTTAATTGGATTTGGAGATTTTCAATCCAATATCTGAAACTAATTTAAGCACAAATTGATATTGGGGAAATCAAATTCTTATTTGATACGATTGAAGCTGATTACTTATGTGATCAATCTGATTTATTTAATAATTTGATGTTTGGATTGCTAACATACAAATTTCTACTTTCCAGGCCTGATTTATGTTTATAATCGAAAAAAAAAAGATTTATGTTTTAATAATCTTCGCTTCAAGAAGGATATATTATATATATATATATATATATATCCATACATATAGAAACTAAAAAGCCAAAAGGATTTGACCCGCACGCTTAGATTCCTAAGCCAAAGCAATGCCGAGTCCATTGGACTCATCATTCCAACGAGAAAAAACTACCTACCCAAGGTAATTGATATACGTATTCACATGAGATGATGAAAGCTAAGTAAAAGAGCTAGTTGACTTGCAGTACATAAAATCAAATAACCATCATCATTCAAAAAGTAGCCTTTGGCAACTATGGTAACTCTAAATAAAAAGAGACCCTAAATAATAATTAAAAACAAATGAATTAATTAACTTTTTCCAGGGATATATATATATATAGAAGTGAGAACGTGCATCAAAACTGGCCCTCTAGCTAGCTGACGAAGGAGATAGTCTGCAGACTGCAGCTAAGCATTCTAAACTGAGGATCATGATATCTTTCTGTTTATAAGCAATAGAACGTGCTTGCTAGCTAGCTAGGGTTCTTATATGATCACGCTAGCTAGCCAGCAAACAGCTAAACGATAGAAATGGAGCTCAAAGTGATGATGACAGTGCAGAGATCACAGAGAGAAAGGGTTTGCAGATAACAGCAGTCAGTGCATGCAGTAACTAATGCCTGCCCCAAGGATAAGTTCCCAAATATGGGACCAAGAATGTTTGGTCCTTTGAACTACATTGATGTCTTCATTAATATATGGTTAGCTAGCACTGGCAGTACTTACAAGGATGGAGCTCCTTATTCTGTAAATTTACAGATAAGAAATTAATCAAACTCATCATGTACGTACGTAGCTGATATCCCTAGCGCGATTCTACGCATCCCTTAAACTCAAACCGCGATCAAGGGAATTCATAATGATAATATATAACATCGAGTTTTGGAGACTCTATGTTCTATCGAATTGAACTAAGAACATTTTCTTATCATAGTAGCTAGATCCCTTGCTCTCTCTCGATCGACTTAAGTACTAATGTGTGATTTCCTTAATGTGATTACATAATAGACACGAGAGGAAGGGTATTATCTTAAGATACATACATATAACTTATAACTTGATTATCTCATCCATATACCATAGGCGCAATATTTGATTATCTCATCCATAAGCAATTAAAATGATCTCAATTACTCTCACAAACATGATTTTTTTGTTATAAATTACTAGTGCGAGACATCTTATTAATACGGATTTTCGAGCACAAATTGTGAGACGACGATCGAAGATCTGAACAGGCTCTTGTATAAGTTTGACAAGTATAATGCAGATTATATTAGACATTGATCAACAACCAAAACAAAATCATCACGTATATCTATCTACATTAACCATCAATAAAAGTAAAACCCAAATTAAGTTCAATTTCCTTAACACATTCGTCGGTCATCGGCGTAACTATAGCTTGTGGATCCAAAAAGCCAGCTGCAATGTGAACCATCGTCGTCCTCCTTATTTCTTTTCCGCTTTCACTGTGGTGCCCGTGGAATCATACGAAAGAGAGACGAACAAAAAAAAAAAAAAAAAGCACTAGCTAGCTATTATCTACAAAGAAAGAAAGAAAGAAAGAAAGAAGCAGTAATTAATGGCCGAGCCGCAGCTCCAAATCAAGCTGCTCATCATCACTACCGCTACTGATGCTACCGTTCCAAATCGGCCTCTTGCCCAATGCTTCTTCTTCTTCCTCTTCGCCGTCGTCCCGCTCCTGCTGGTTCTGGCCGGATCCGACCTGCAGGCTCAGGTTCGCACCCCACAGCACTTCCTCGGCCGACCCGAACCTGGGCGGCGCGGGCGGGACCACCAGGTTATTATAACCTAGCGCCGCCTCCACGTGGGACGACGACGACGACGACCGCGGTCCGATGTTGTAATTGCTACGGATGATGTTGTTCCCGTACGGCCCTCGCCCGGGCGGCTGCTGGAAGAACACGTGGCGCTGCTGCTGCTGCTGATGAGCCTCCCAAGGGGAGGGAAAGTAGTAGTTACCAGTGGAGAAGGCAGGTATCGGGTCGTGGTGGTGGATGATCATGGCGGCGGAGGCGGAGGGTAATTTGGACGACTTGGTGGCGCGGTCGCGGCGGTGGATGTTCATGTGGCCGCCCAGCGCCTGCGCGTTGGTGAACCCTCTCTTGCAGAAGCTGCACTCGTACGACCTTTTCGCTGCCGTCGCCGCCCGAGGGGCGGCGAAGACGGCGTCATCGCTGGATGAATCGGAGCTGCCCTGCTTCGCCATTTTTCGAAGGAGAAAGAGAAGAGTTGGATCAGGGTTTGGAGAGGGGAATTGAGGTCTGTGGGTATATAACAGAGAGAGAGAGAGAGAGACAGAAATTCGGGGGGAAGATGGAGATGGACAAGTAATTGCCAGTGCCAGTTTTATGTGCTTCTTCTTGGTCGGAGTTTCTCGGAATTGAATATTTTCTCAGAAATTGGACCTTTTTTTTGGGGGGGGTTTGTCGTGACTTCAGACGGCTTTTACTAGGAGACGGCCGATTGGAGTATATGAACTAGTAATGTAAACCCAATCTTTATTCCTCATTAATGTCTCTTACCCGGTTAACACGTACATACTTGTCTCTCCCCCAATTTGTTCATCTTCATTGATTAATTACTTCCTACTCAAATCACCCATGGTTAGTTCAAGTAGTAAAATACTAGAAAATATGAGTTACCGAGTTGTGCTTGACGATTGTTATGTATTTTCCGAATTGGAAACTCATTGAATTCTGAGTAGCGGCGAATCTAGGAGCCCTTTCGTCAACCACAGTCCAACCCTGCTTTGGGTACAGAGCTTGGGCAGTAAACGAGACCTGCTTGTTTGTAACCCTTGTCAGATTACAACACTTTGGGCAGAGCTTGTGATCTGACTAATGTTGTGATCTGACTAATGTTGGACTAAAAGTGTTGTTGTTCTTCACATTTTCTTCTTCCTTGCAACCCTTGTGCTTCCAAGATTGCACACCGTAGAGCATCTTCATTTCCATTGTCATCCACCCTAAAGTTGTTGGTATATTAGTAATTCCCAACTTAACAAAAAGTTCCCTTGTGTGAAATCAATCAAGTCCCTTGGTCAAAATATCTTCTAACTATTCAATAGTTTGACATACTTCAATTTCATCATCCAGTTTTGAACTTTTTCCTTGCAATATGCATATCAATCTCAATATGCTTGGTCCTTTCTAGAAAGACAAGGTTCTACGTTAACTTTCAAATCCAGAGAGTACTTGTATGGTCCCAAGATTTTAATATGAAATTCTACTAGCACAATCTATAATAGGACTTGAATTGATAACTCTGCTAACAATCTTTTCACATACCAAGTTTGTCGAGGGTTTGTACTCTGCTTCTTATGAGGGCATTGAAACTGTGGTATATTTTTTAATCTTCTAAGTTAGCAAGGAACTTTCCAGAAAGGTGAACTAGCCCGAGATATATTGACAAGTGCCAAGACAACTTGGTCATTAGGATCACTGTTACAAGTCATTTTCAACTCAATCATGATAGTGAAATGGATTCCTTGATTTGGCAATATCTTAAAGTATCTCAAAACCATGTATGCAGCTTGCAAATTCAATATACGGGCTGTTCTAATACTCACAAAGATGTTGTACAACAAATGTAATATCAGGTCTTGTAATAGTTAGATTGTTTAGGCTTCTCAATAATCTTATATAGCATTCCCCACCCTCCAACAAAGTTCCTTTAGCATTGAGTTTTACTTTGGATTTATTGGTGTTTGACATCCCTTTCATTCCAAGTAGCATGTATCATTTTCATCTATGCTATATCTTTCAATCACAAAAAGTACTTGAGTGGTCCAAAGATTTTAATCTTAAAATCTTTACTCAATGTTGTATTGACTTGGTCTATGTATATTTTTAGCATCACCACCCACAATTGTGTCATCAACATAGATTAGTAACACTACAATTCTTCACTGTGTCCACTTGGTGAAAAATGAATAGTTTGAGGCTGACTGAATACCAAAATCAATTAGAACACTTGTCAGCTTAATAAACCACCATTGTGAAGTTTGTTTTAGTCCATATAATGACTCTTTCAGTCTTGAAGCCATCTATAGTTTTCTAGAAGAGGGCCCTATACTCTCAGAGATATCTTCATACAAACAACCTCATCGGGTTCTCCATGCAAGAAAGCATTTGAAACATCTAGCTGTTCAAGAGACAAATTCTTCATATTTGCCACATCCACGAATACTTGTACAACTATTTTTTGGATACAAGGGAGTATGTGTCTAGGAAGTCTATTCCATAGACTTGAGTACAATCTTTAGCCACGAGTATGGTCTTAAAGCTCTCAATAGCTCCATCAGGCTTATATTTCACTTTAAAACCCCACTTATTTCCAACGTATTTTTTCTTTGGCGGTACCAGAACTATATCCCAAGTTTGATTCTCATCCAAAGCGTGCATTTCTGAGCTTATAGCTCTATTCCATTCATCTAACTTAATTGCTTCATAATAGGACCTAAGCTCTATCTAATTCACCACACTAATGCAAAAGATCTATCAATAGGGCTCAAGCATTTAACATTCAAACATACTGGATATCTATTGCATACATTTGCTTCTAAAAAATTTCAAATTTGAGAGATGGACCCAAATGGTAATCATTGTACTTATTTGGCTGAGTGATGTGCCTTAGAGGTCTTCCTTTCATTAGCAAGTCTGAATCATGTTGATCAACATTGAATTGTGGAAGTAGTTCTTGATCTTCATAATCAAAATATGGATAATGATCATCCAAGAAAGCATTAGTATCAGTAGGAATTGGAATGGTAACAGAATCCTCAGGATTCTCCCTTCCTTTTTTATAATGGAGATGAAATTCATTCAAACGAAAAGCAAAGAAAAGAAATAGAGTTCAAACACCAATAGATGAACGCTGTTCACAAGGGCTAAACCAACCTTCCTTATGATTCCCCCTTCATCTGTACATGAATGAAACTGAGGAATGGGATTATTAGAGTAGCCTGAGGAGTAGGTTTATGAAAATGAAGTTGTGTTGGTGATGCTAGCATGGGTTCTGCAACAAGAGAATGGTAGGTAAAAGGAGTAGAGAGAGGAGGAGTATCATGTGACTCAAATGACAAATTTGATTCATAGAAGGTGACATCCATGGACATGAAAACCTTCTTATCATACAAGTCTAGCAATTTATATCCTACCAGTTGGCATTCCCAAGAAAACACAGTGCCTGGCTCGTGCAATAAATTTTTTCTTCCATGGGCAATATGCTGGCATAATATAGGCAATCGAACACCCTTAAGTTTCTCATGAATAGTGGATATTTATGCAATACCTCATACGAAGATTTATTTCCAAGAATTGGGTTTGGAAGTCTATTAATTAGGTAGACAACATGCAATACAAAATCACTCCACTACTCCTGATGTCCCCCTAAGGGGGTTAGTTAGTGTGCATCCATAAACCAAGAGGGGTATGAACGTGCACCCTGGCCCTCAAGAAGTCAATCATGATAGGCCTCATGGGTATCAAACATGTTACATACCCAACAATGCCATAAATATTCTAATTGTCAGACATGCACACCCCATACGGTAGACCATCTAAGTATAAGGCATGGCAACATACAAGAGTAGTCATCACAGATATTAGTAAAGCATCTAGCATGAAGATAATCGACACCAATATGGTCACCACTGTCATGAGATGGTGATCATACTCATCATAATGATCCCCTAAGTGTGATATCCCTCACCTATTAAGCATGATAGACTATATATATATGTGTGTGTGTGTCAAGCATAGGATACCTAGCTAAATAGCCATCACATCACATTTCATCAAGCCTACAAGACATAAGCACACCGAATAGGGTACTAGGTCTACACGTCAAGCAAGACACCTCCCTGACATAGAAGGCTACCTATCAAGTGAAATCTTCAAGTCGTCAAGATATCAAGTGGTCTACATGGAAGCAAGAGGTGTTGGGGCATCAAGTAAGTTACATCTAACACTAGGCAGTGGAGTGGCGGTTACAAAATCAGTTACACATGATGCCTATATGAGTAAATGAAGCAAGAGTTTCCAAAACCAACATTTTATACCACATCTCAAACTTTATCATTTCTATACAAAGCAGCTATAGAAGCAGTTTCTGGAGCTCTCACTATACTTTTTATAGGAGTAGAGTAATTTAATGCATATTGTTCCCAAAAACCATCAAACAACCTCATTGGAACACTGTTTGGATAGGTAACCGTGTAATTAATCGTTATCCAAACAAGTCAAAGATGCATCCATTTAGGGGCGTGCAATAGTCCGGACTGTATCGGACCTAATATAGTGCGATCCAGTCCATGGTCCCCATAAATTTTACAATTACTGAAGAAATAATGGACCAACTGATATTTGGATCGGACCGAACCAGACCAAATGGACCGAATACAATAATGATCCGGTCTTTGGTACTAAAATATATTTCACTAATAAGTCGCGGTTCTCATGAGTCGGACATTGTTGTACACCCCTACGTCCATTAATATCAATACATAAGTTTTTCTCCGGAAACCCGTAGGTTTAACAACAACAACAAAAACAACAACAAAAAGTTTACTGTATTGATAAGTAGTAATTTTCCTGTAAACCAAAGTACTGGAGAGGTGAAGCTTGTGAAGATCATACATTCAAACACTATCTATACATCGACAGAGTCGTGCACCAAAAATGACCTGATCTCTTATTTCATCTAACTAAACCGTATTCTCATGGAGATCCAAAAAGGGTTTAATTGTTTCATCTAAGTAATTAATCATTTAATCCCACAGGCAGTAGCGCGTAGCTATACTGTCCCATTATCCCCGGATCCCATAATCTGCAAGCTAATCGCCAACTAATCACATCTTGTTTGCATTAGCTAATTCTTCTGACCTTGGAAAGGCCGCGCGAGGCAAAGAAAGAGAGGTGTCTTGGACACAAATGGTTGTGCGGAGAAAAGCCGTTCAAACAGGGAATGAATGAATTGATGTAACTGCACCGCATATAAACAAACCGTAGACATGTCTTCCCCGACAACTTCCCATGTGTCGTTTTGTGCCCACAGGAAGGAACTCCCAATCTTTTCTTTCTTAAACAAAACGAACGAGCTAGAATAGAATAGAAAAATGGGCACAATGTAATCGACACGTTTCTTTCCTCTTCTTAACTATCAGTTGGAAACATTGATCGAAGTTCGTCTACGATGAAGATTTCTTTATTATAAGTTAACAGTTCCCTTGATTTCTGAAACAC